ATTTAGTTTTGGCTTAAGTAATAAAAAGGCAATCTCAAGCTTTCTTAAACAGCTAAGAAAACGTATTGTCTCAGAGAAGTTACTAAATCCAAAGGAAGGAGTAGCCTTCAAGCTGGGTTTGAGCTCTTCCATCATGCATCAGCTTCATTCTCAGGCTGGCTTCTTTCACAGTAGCAAAGTGGCTGCAGTATATATAGGACTCAATTCCATTCATTGCACCAGAGTAAGAAACAGCATTTTTTATTTCCTAGCAAACACAATACAATTGGGACAAATTTAGGCTTATGTCAATGCCCATGAATGAACAGGTCAAGTGGGGATGGCATTAGGATGATTATTGTACATCAGGGCTCACACCTGGATATGAGCCTAATCAAATCCTTGGCTGCCTCACAATTGCAGAGGAATAGAAATGTATGATGGGGAATCAACCAATATAATGTCCATTATAAAAACAGAATGATATTCTATACCTTTAAATATCACAGTTTAAACTCTTCCATTATTATTTAATGTTTAACTTGTTTCCAGTCTTTTGTTACTAGGATTATTATAAACAGAGAGTTGCAGACCTTATTAAGGGAAACAAGACTGTAAGATACAATAGAGAATGCAGAGACTTTGGTAAAAGAGAGAATATATGTCCTATACCTGATGGCTGCCATGTAAGAATGTAAACCTACTGTTACAAAATCTTCCACTGGTTTTTTTTTTTTTTTTGCAGTTTTTTTGGCTGGGGCTGGGTTTGAACCCTCCACCTTCAGCATATGGGGCCAGCACCCTACCCCTTTGAGCCACAGGGGCCACCCAAATCTTCCACTGTTTAAAGAGAAGCTCAGAATGCTTGGAAATATTCTGGTTTTTAATTTGGCTAATTTATTTTCCTAAGCTTAATGCAGGCCCAAACAAACAAACAAACAAACAAAAAAACCATCAAAAAACACATACACACCCATATTTATAGGTTCAATTTGGTCCTGGGCCACCAGTTTCTGTCATGTTATGAATCATGCTAGAATATCTTATAGCACCTTCTCTCAAAGTGAGAGCTTCTGTCCTTTCTTGGCCCAGGGCTGCTAGAATATGCTTAGTGCAAATAAAGCCACTGTGGAGAGAGAAGCGAGCAGCACTCATTGTGGGAGGAATGCTTTGTTATTAATTCTTTGGCATGTGGATGACCAAAAATCGCATTACAACAAAGATATTTGTATCAGAATGTTTATTGCAGCCCAATTCATAATTGCCAGGTCATGGAAGAAGCCCAAGTGCCCATCGATCCATGAATGGATCAACAAACTGTGGTATATGTACACCATGGAATACTATGCAGCCATTAAGAAGGATGGAGACTTTACATCCTTCATGTTCACATGGATGGAGCTGGAGAATGTTCTTCTGAGCAAAGTATCACAAGAATGGAGGAAAAAATATCCAATGTACACACCCCTATTATGAAACTAATTTAAACCTTTTTATATGAAAGCTATAACCAAATAGCCTAAGAATATGGGGAGGGGGGAGGGAGAAGAAAGGGGGTAATGGGTGGAGGGAGGGAGTTTGGAGGGATTACTTCTGAGGTTTACCTTATAGGGGTACAGGTGAATCTTTCTAAGAGTAGAATGTGAATGTTTTAAAGCAATAACTGAGAAAATGACATGAAGGCTGTGTTGACCAGTTGATGGAAGTATTTCAGATTGCATGTGAAAACCCCACACTGTACCCCAGAAGTGCATTAATGTACATAGTTACCGTTCAATAAAAAAAAAAAAAATTCTTTGGCATGTGCATAGAACTGTTTTCCTGGTGGTTAGGATAAGTTTGTACCAAATCACCTTCATTGTCTCTTATCTAGGTTCTCTTGTGACTCATTTCTTATCTAGGTACTCTTGTGACTCCTCTTTGGTTCTACTGAGAGGAAAAGTTCAGTTTTACAGAACGGTCCCTGGTGACTAGAGGTGTGATATGTGGTCATGGGACAGGATTTTTCCTTGTAGAAAGGTGGCACATGGATTGATCCTATCATAGTAACTGAGATGTCATGTTCCCCTTAAATAGAAGAATTAACTAATGACAGCACTCTTACTGCTTTCAGACATATAGAACTGAATTTTGGGAACATAAAGGCTGTTTGGGTCTCATCATTTAATAGTTGTGTTTCTTTTTGGCTAAGTTTCTTATTGAATGCCTATTACTACTTCAGCATTGCCCTTTTTGTCGGAAAGTTTCACTCCAGTTAATATAAGAAGGCAGAAATTACGGGTTTTTCAGCTGTCGACTTCCTCATGGTGCCCAGGATAACTTTGATAGTACTTTATTCAGTAGAGGCTCAGTACTTACTTGTTGGCATATTTATTAAAATCTTGCTTGTCTCCCATTTGATCCTGCAATCCCATTACTGGGCATCTATCCAGAAGGAAAAAAACCTTTTATTATAAAGGCACTTATACTAGGCTGTTTCTTGCAACCCAATTTACAATCGCTAAAATGTGGAAATAGCCTAAATGTCCTTCAACCCAGTAATAGATTGGTAAGCTGTGGAATATATATACTATGGAATATTATTCAGCCATCAAAAATAATGGAGATTTTACAGCATTTGTACTAACCTGGATGGAGTTAGAACACATTGTTCTTAGTGAAGCATCACAGGAGTGGAGAAGTAAGAATCCTATGTATTCAACTTTGATATGAAGACAATTAATGACATGGTGTGGCATGGTGGAAGGGGAGACCAGACAGAGAAGGAGGGAGGGGGTGTGGGCAAGGAAAAGAAAAAAGAAAAGAAAGAAAATAGTGACTAATTCTCATATAAATTGCATTTAATTTGGACCAAAGTACATTACTTAAACATTAATTTTTAATTCAACATGTTAATATGTCGTTTATCATATTACATCCTCATTTATGAGTGAAATATGCTTGTAATTTCCCCTTTATAATAATATACTTTCTCCAATTTTAATATCCAGATTAAGTAGAATGATTTTGAAGTATTTTTCTATTGTCTATAAGATTTGGTATGATGTTTTTTTGAAATTATCTTTTACTTTTATTTATAAATATTAGTTGTCTATTTTTTTGAGACTTTGGAAAAAACAAAATAAGAAGTTAACTGATCAAAGTATTCTATAATAGACATACTTCTGACAACGTGAATGTTACTTTCTTTGCATTATTACTATTATTATTGCTTAATATTTCGTTGCAGCAATTGTCTGATTTCTTTTCTAAATGTATTTATCTTCATTCGTTCTTTGAGTTTTTGTTTTCAGTCCTTATGTTAAACATTGTTATTGTCATTAAAAAAATCTTGCATGTCTCAGAAATCAGTGGATGATTTGTATTATTCCAACTCCAACTTTATTAAATACCATCAAAACTTCCAATATTTATTATCATGCCTAGGGCTAGGTAAGCTTTTAGTATAGAGAAGTTAATAAAGGATCTTCTGGGACAGAGCCCAGTAGGGGTCTGCAGGCCCCATGAGAATTATCTGAAGACTGTTTTGCTTATCTGTGGTGTCAGATATCACAAAAATTATGCACATGACATCCCCCCCATCAGCTTTTGTTAGTGTTTGTGTGTTTAATGTGTGACCCAAGACAACTCTTCTTGTTCCAACATGGTGCAGAGAAGCCAAAAGATTGGACGCCCCTGAGGTAGGGGAAACAGTTGCAATACTCCTGATATAATAGTCTAGACATTAACATTAGGAAAAGAAAAAAAAAGGAACTCGGGAGGGTAGGCTCTTTGGACAAATGTCACATTTCTCAGAGTAGCTTTTGGATATGGGTGGAGAAATGAAAGCAGGGGAATTGGAGTGGGATAGCAGGGAGAATTTTAAACTAAGGAAATTTTAAAGCTCGCATCACTGAACATTCAGGTAACTCTTGCTGCACTATATTCCCTCATTCATAAAATCACATTTATTGAGTACTTCAGGCACGATGCATGGAAGATACAAAATGAATGAAGCAGGTCGTTAAGGATTCTCTAGCAGTGGTTCTCAACCTTCCTAATACAGTGCCTCATGTTGTGGTGACCCCCAACCAAAAAATTATTTTCCTTGCTACTTCGTAACTGTAATTTTGCTACTGTTTTGAATCATAATGTAAATATCTGATATGCAGGATGTATTTAGGCGACCCCGGTGAAAGGGGAAAACCGCTGCTATAGGGGGATAAAATACTGCACAGATTAACAAAGATAAGCTTGAATATATTAGATGCCTCAAACTCACTGAAACTAAGCGCTATGGAGATTCAGAAAATCTACAGGTTATTGCCGGTTGCAGGAGCTAAGGATATCCACAGTTTAAACAAGGATTGGTACAATATTTGTAGCTAAAAAAGAGATGACTTTATCTTTATCTAATTTATAGTCCGGAATCTATGACCCCATAGGATAAAAAGGTGAAAACGAGGGCACATTTCTTCATAAAAATACACAACAGTGCCTTTCGCTTTCCTGCTCATCCTTCACCTATTTCCCCCTTCCCTGTCGCCTGAATTTCACAGATGGAATTAACTTCGTAAGCACTCAGACACCTAGACAGAAAAGCACAGAATAATTGGTGAAAAAGTTCGTACTCTTTAAAGTGACTTCCCCGAAGATTACTGAGCATTAATAATGAAAACATCAAAACCATCTTCCCCAATTCAGAGTTGTCTCAGAACGCAGTAACCGCTCGGCAGAACGCATCCTAGTCCGGCCGGGCTCGCGGGCGTGGTTAAAGCCCCCCGCCTCCCGCCCTCGAGAGGTTGTCAGGGCCACGAGCACCCGCCCCGGCGCGTCCCCGCTCTAACAACGCGGGTTCTGTCAGGTCCTCACTCCTCAGCTCCTCGCGCAACCACAGCCAGAAGCGACGCGTAGGCACTTGTGCGCCGCTGCCGCCGGGCAGAGAAGGCATCTCCGTTCTCGGGAGCGCGCACGCCGCGCCGAGGGTCCTCGACGCGCGCGCTCCCGACCCGCCGCTTCCCCGGCCCGCCCCCTCCCTCGCCTCTTCCTGCCAGGCCATCCCTTCTCCCCTCCCCTCGCCGCTCCCTCCGCCCTCCCAGGGCTCTGGCAGCGGCGGAGTGAACGGGACTGGCCCGGCCGCAGAGCGCGGGGCGGCGGGTGGGAAGCGGGCGCCTGAAGGAGTTGTTCCGGCAGCGCCTGCGGAGACGTGAGGAGGTGAGGCGAGGGCGGCCTCCTGGGGGCCCAAGGAAGGCCCGGCGGCTCGGGGCCGCGGGCCGGGACTGCCCGGGGGTGTTGGCGCCGCGGCTGAGCCTGCGGAGGGTTGAGGTGGGGCCCCGGCCCCGGCCCGGGACCTGGACGCGGGAGGATCGCGGGGAGTAGAGCGCGGGGCGGGTTCGGGACGGTCGGCCGCCTCACGGACGCCGCGGTTCTCCCTGTGGCCGCTTCCCACAGCCGGGGCGGGCGGGGTCGGCGCCCTTACCTGGGGGCGGGGTGCTGGCGCCCGTGGCCGCAGCCTCCAGCTGTGCCCTCCTGACATTGCTGCCGCCTCCGCCGCCGGCTCTGCGCTGTGGCTGTGTCGGCTTCGCAGCCTCAGCAGCCCTGCGTCCGGGGGGCGTGTGGTTAGGGCATTAGCCCACGCGCAGGCTTCTGTTCGTGACCGTGTCTCCCTCAGCCTTTCCGTCCGTCGCCGAGCACTTTCCTGCTGTTGATGCTTGCGGTTTTGCAGTCTGGGATGGGCTGTGTCCCGGGCAGATCTCTACCTGCAAGGAATGCTCTGCTTCAAAGTTGACCGCCTGAGCCGCGACAAACACCCCCACATCCCACCTCGCGTCCCGTGCTGTGGAGGCTCAGTGTCCTGATAACTGACTCAAAGTTTCTGAGACGGGGCTAGTACTTTGCACTGGTCGCCAAGTACAGGGTTGGGCAGTGCGTCAGCCTGTGGAAAGGGGCCACCCGCCAGAGGGAGGTGGTTGGGTTCAAGGGGCTGAACTGACAAGAGTTCATTTCTCATACTAGGGCAAGTGTCTAGGTGTTTGTGTGTTCTTCTTGGACTTTTCAGATAGGTTAGAAAGGCGACTAAAATTTAGGTGAAACTTAACTCACTTGCGGAGTTGATGGTTTCATATAAGTGAACTCAGTTGCCAAGCTCATTACACTAATGGTGAGAAGAACTTTTGCTTGCTTGACAAATTTAAGCGCAGTTTGGAAACTTCTTTGAAGGCCTGCATTTTTGGCGGTGGAAGGCTTAGGGATTTTTAGTACGTTTAACTTTTCTTGTGCATGGTGGGAGGTAAGCATTTGCTTGTTAAAATTCTGAAAGTACAGTTTTGTGAAAACCTGACTTTCCCCACAGTAATGTTTATATTTGGCATTTTCTATACTTCTACATATACTACATATACTTCTAGTAGATATGATGTCAGAAGATATATGGACATGAAGTTTGCTTGTCAAATTGGAAGTGGATTTTGCCCATGAAAAACAGGGTTCAGAAGCTTTTAGCACTGGGAAACTGGCCTGTGATTCCTTATCTCAGTGGAGCATCCTATATATGAAACTGACAATGAGACTGTAAAGGAGAAAGACTAGATGAACTTAACGTTTTACATTATCAACAAATTGTGTTAATTGTTCACCTGCTTGTGGGGTTAGCTAAGACTTTGAATGACTGTGCTGATCAGTTCAAGATATGCTTTGATATTATGTATTGTTAATCATCTGGAGAGAAGTAGATGAAGCCAGGCAGAGCTTATATGTGAACATATTGTATTATGTACTCTACCTTGTACTCTAGAAAGCTGGAAACAAAATAATAAGTCTCAGTACTGTTGGGGCATTTAGTGAATATACAAACCAACTTATAAAGATATGACTGTAAGTGTATGAATTGTTTTTGTTTTTGTTTTTGTTTTGAGACAGAGCCTCAAGCTGTCCTGTCCCCCTGGGTAGAGTGCCATGGCATCAGAGCTCACAGCAACCTCCAACTCCTGGGCTCAAGCGAATCTCCTGCCTCTACCTCCCAAGTATCTGGGACCACAGGCGCCCGCCACAACCCCTGGCTATTTTTTTTTTTTTTTTGATTGCAGCCATCGTTGTTTGGTGGGCCTGGGCTGGATTCGAACCTGCCACCTTAAGTATATTTGGCTGGCGCCTTACCCGCTTGAGCCACAGGTGCTGAGCTTGAATTGTTTTTTGACCTAAGTTATTTGATGGGAATTTCTATGTTATAGTTTTAATGTTCTGAGCATTTTTTGTTTTTTTTATAGTTATTTCATGATTTAGATAATTTTTTTTTACCTAGCACTTATAACATTCTTTTTTTTGAATGACAGTTTTATTAACCACGTGAAATAAGAGTTTTCATGTTTATCAGCTCAGCAGTTCTAAATTTGTTACTTTTAAAAACTGTACTTAATTTTTTTTTCTTTGTCTCAACCCAGACTTGAAATTGCACAGTTACTGTGTTTGAACTCCCAGATGATATAGGATTAAAGCTGGAAGTCCTTTTATCCATTCTTGTGGAGTAGTCAAAAGAGGGAATTCTGTTCTACCAAGTAAAAATGTTATATTCAGGAGATAGCCAGGATTCAACAGATCAACTTTAAAGAGAGTAGTAGTGAAAGAGTAAACATTTCTTGTTTGGGGGACAAAGAACTGTGACTGCATTCCAGCCTACCATTGTCTCAAGTGGTGTGGTGATGATTATGACTGGATAGAGAATGTTTGGAGAAAGAAGTTGATATTATAGTCTATGGGATTCCCAGACACAGAACATTTTTGCTTATGTTTCACACATTTTAATAAATTGCTACATGTTTATAACTCTTGCCTTATATAAATAGGTCAGCCCTGGGTTCTGAGGATAACCAGCAGCCCAAGGCTATTCCAGCTTCTGGTGTTTAAAAGACAGCTTAGGGATTTCATACAGAAGTAGTGTAATGAGCATCTGCCACACAAACAGGGGAGGCAGAAAGTACAGACTGGAGCCTGAGTTATGGTAAAACATCATTTTTAAAGGAGAATTTTGTTGAGATTACAAAGATATTGCTTTACTCATGGCTTTTCAGAATGGGGAATAATTTCAACTTTATGGGCAGTATTTGAATTGAGTATAAGTATGTGAACATCAGTGTACCATTATAGGGAAGAGTTAATGAATTAAGCAGAACATGCATCTCCTTTCTTCATTTACTTTACAAATTGCTGTTATTCAACAGATGGGATTCCACAATTATTTGAGTATGGCTTATTTATGCTCATGTTGACACTTGTTTTGGTCATCTTTGGGTGTTTTTTGGTGTAATTTTGGGGGATTTTTCCTGGGAAACTTCTAGGCATATATTCTTTTGATTTAGAGGTCGATTTGGGCTGAGGTTATTAGTATACTTGAATTCTGAGCTGTCTTGTTTTATAAATAGCCTTCAAAATAGAAAACACAATTCTTTATAAATGCAGCATGAAAAATCTGGTTACAGGCTGTGTTGTGATAGACATAGTATAGCCAAAAATATATTCAAGAAATTTCTCTCCTATCCAGTTTAGTAAGCTTAAATAAGAATTAAAAAAAAAGAAAGTTTTTTTCAACAAAAGCCTTATTTTCCCAGAATATCAAGTCTAACAACTGTTTGTTATATTATTTTCCTTTTTGCCTATTCTAAATTCAACAAGTACTACATGCCTGTGGGCCATGACAAAAACTTAGTTCTAGTATGGCAGTGGTCTCCGCCCTTTTTGGCACCAGGGACTGGTTTCATGGAAAACAGTTTTTTCACAGATAGGGGTTTGGGGGAGAATGGGACAGAGGCAGACTGTTTCCTAATAGGCCATAAACTGGTACTGGTCTGTGGAATGGGGTTGGGGACTTTAGGGGATTCTTAGTAATGGAGATCCCATTGAAGGACCCAAGCTTGTACATGGAATTTGACTGGGAAACATCAGGCATGGAAATTTTACTTTTTATCACTCTGGTTTTTCTCTATACCTGGGTTTTCAGTAGGGTGGGAGCATGGGAACAAATACCATAGCCACAGTTAACTTGGATTTTTTTTTATACTATAAATTTCTTCTCCCCAGCAAACCACCCTTTGTTAAGTGAGCCATTGCTACTCTATTAGGAATGTGTTGTATTTTTCTGGTGTGTATGGTTGAACAAAGCCTGAGAATCTTGGCCCTTGGCAATTTTCCTTAAACCAAATTTGTACTTCTTGCAATTTATTCGGCTTCTGGTGATATCAGTAGACATCTGTTTCTCTCTCTCTCTCTCTCTTTTTTTTTTTCTTCAAAGATAGGGTCTTTCTTTGTCACCCAGGCTGGGTAGGGTAGAGTAGCGCAATCATAGCTCACTGCAGCCTTGTCATCTGGCCTCAAGCAGTCCTTCCTTAGCTTCTGGATTTCAGGTTCACATTACCATGGTTGGCTAATTAAAAAAATTTTTTTGTGGAGATGGATTCTTACTATGTTGCCCATGCTGGTCTTGAACTCCTGGGCTTAAGTGATTCTCCCACTTTGATCTGCCAAAGTACTGGGATTACAGGCATGAGCCACTGTGCCCAGTTCCATTATTTCATTTCTTTCTTTCTTTCTTTCTTTTTTTTTTTTTTTGAGACAGTGTTACTGTATCACCTGGTAGAGTGCTGTGGTGTCACAGCTCACAGCAACCTCCAACTTTTGGGCTTAAGTGATTCTCTTGCCTCAGCCTCCCAAGTAGCTGGGACTACAGGCACTCACTATAACGCCCAGCTATTTTTTGGTTGTAGTTGTCATCGTTTTGGCAGGCCTGGGCTGGGTTCTAACCCGCTAGCTCCTGTGTATGTGGCTGGTGCCCTAGCTGCTGAGTTATAGGTGCCTAACCCCTGTTACCTTCATTTTTGAAAGAGAAATATTGGTGGGGAGCCTAAATACATAACCAGAATTGAGATTTATTGAATGATACAGTTAACATTGGAGGAGACTAGGGGCTTGTTTAGCTGAACATTCATTACACTCTTTTGACTGTGACACATTTTATATCTTGATTCAGCATGCATACATACAAATAAAGTTGAAAGGAAAGTTTAGTGAAATAATGCTTACCTTTTCAGGACCCTATTGAGTTGGTTGTAATAGCTTGTAAGAGTAATTGTGCATATCCCTTCCCTTTTAGCTCTACAGATGTTCAGTGACATGATGCTGGTAGCTTGAAATGGGTCATGGTGGGAATATTTATTCTAAGGAAA